AAATATAGTTTCTGCAACAAATTGAAATGTAATTGAAATGTGGCAGATCTCAGTCAGGCAGCCACAGTAATCAATAGCATAGCATAGGCAGATTTTCTGTAGACTTATTGGATGAATTGAAAAACGAGCTGCTCATTAACTTCATTTTATTCGTATCTCTAATAAGTGTAGTTACACTTATTAGTAGGCCTTCTCTTTCTCATCCTATATTACAACATATTCAGTCTTTTCTGTTTGGCTTCACCAACTTTTTTCACCCCTGCAGAAAATAACATTTACTCTTTCTCTTTCAATATAGATGGAAAGAGCTTCCCAGGCACCACTGTGCTCTTTCATGTAAAAGTCACAGCCTGGAACCTTCAGTCAATATCGGCCTTTTCAAGAGCACCCAAATCCGCTGCTGTCAAACATGTGGGATGCTCACAGTCAGCTCCTCTGTCCTTATCACCCACTTATTCTAGTCCAGTGACCTTTCCAGCACAGTAAAACTGCCAGCATACTGCAGACATAGAAGTATGCAAATGCCAAGTGCCATTAAATGTGCCCATTGTCTCTTGAAATACAAGTCATTGCTTTCTCTCTGCCAAAAGAAATCTCTTAGATTGCTGTGCAAATAAAGACAGCTTGAGGTTATATTGATTTACATTCCTTAAATTCAAACAAGCCTCAGGAATATGTTTAAAGGCTGTATGATCCTTTAGAAGCTTGCAGCAGATATTTGAAGTGAGCACATGCTTTGTAGATCACATGTGTATCGTTGTCATTTCAAATGCTAAGGCAAGGGCTTCCTAAGGGAGCCAGCTGTCCTCGTCACCGCAGCTTCAGAGGACAGCTGGACACCTACACCCCTTGAGGTCTCAGAAAATAAAGTCCTAACAAAGAGACAATCAAAGTCTTTTAATGAGAATTTATAGCTTATTGCCTTCTTACCTTCTTCAGCTGACTTGAAAGCATTTTAGAAAGGGAAAAATGACAACCTTTCATGCAGTCAAAACTTGATCTCAGTTGTATCAGAGTGCTGGATAGCCTTTGAACAAGAGGAGAGGTGGAATTAGACAAGTGATTAATGCCCACTGGTTTCATAGACAGTCTGGCAAAACGTATTTTGCTAGCAGGTCAGTCAAGAAGATTCATTTTAGCTCAGAGCTCTCTGTGTCTCTCTATGATAAGATTTATGAATTAATTGGGGTAACTGAAAATGTTGAGAAATAGATATTTCTAGTGTACAGTTTTAATAAAAGTCTACTACTATTGCAAACTGCTTCTGACATCAAAGTTTCCTTTTTAACCACACAGTATCAAAATTAAAAGTTTTCAGAGTTTGAATCATAAGCAACCAAGACCAAACAGAATGAAGAATTATAAAATTAAATTAATACAAACCACTTTCTCCGACAGAAAAATGTAAGACTATTGTGACTAGCTGTTGTGAACCCAACAATTACTGCATAAAATCCAACTTTTAGGACATTTAAACAGTATATTCCTGTCAATATCAGACAGCAACAAATGAAAAAATCTTTGCTAAACTGCAATGTCATAGTAAGCATAGAAATTGTACTTTCACTTACACATCAGGCCAACTACCACATTTGGCCCTATAAATATAGTCAAAACTCAGTCCTGCACCGATGCAGACTACACTTTTTTTAATAACCTAACTCCACAGATCTCCAACCAGAACATTCTGAGTGAAGAAAACTGTGTGACCACAAACATAAGTGAAAGTGAATTTTTTTTCCTTACCTCCTTCACTTTAGGCAGCATTAATGGAGTCTATAATGGAATGTGACTGTTTTTGTGACTTAGTCTCCACAACAGGTGCAAAGAATGAAATTATAAACTAAACCTATGTTTTAATAGTTTTTCAATCAAAATTTTCATTGATACTCATTATGGTTGGACTCAATGATCTTAAGGGTCTTTTTCAACATAAACGTTTCTATGTTTCTGATTATTCGCAATTAATGCAATGCCTCCATGGGCAATTAAGCTTAATTTAGCATTCTAGCACACAAGGGAAAAATATAAGGAAAAAAAAAGCAAAAAATAGTACAACTTTGTGTTCTTGCCAGCCAGGAAGTAGCTGGGCACCTAAATATACAAGTACTTCTTTTGTAGGATTTTCAAAATTCATGTGAATGCAATGAGAAATAGATCTGAAAATTTGGCTATAAATCACCAAGGAGCAGCAAATTCGTTATGTTTATTCAGATCATATTCATGTATTCTAAGAAGGGTGAGATTATTTTCAGTGACAGAATAAAGAAAAACAGACTGAAGCCTGAACTCCGTAGTAAAATTACCTCTGAAATTATCCCTGTATCTATTAGAAATCAAGATTTAGATATTCTCTTTTAACCAGTGATGCATATTTAATTCTTGGTTAATTTTGTAAAGAGTTATATAAGTGCAGAAATATCTTCTCATCGTGCCTCTTCTGCCACATCTTGTAATTTCTTTTCTAAGCAATCTTTTAGTTCTTTGGGTTTCATAAGGTAACACAGCTGTGCACACAAATCTACAATTAATAGCAATAATAACAACAATAATAAACTCGAGAAGTCTTTTTTCCTGTTCATTACATTTCAGAATTAGGCCTCAAAAAGTTGTATTTCCTGCTAATGGAAATAGTAATTGCTCAATTTTTTCCCTGATGATAAAAATTAAGTCATTCTTTTATTATGGCTGCATATTTTAATGTAATTGTCATGTTTGGGTTTTGTACAATAATTAAAGATAAGACAACAATGCTGTGTCAAAACTCAACAGTATCTTTACTCAGTTAGCAAATTTAGACAAATATTGTAATAAAATAATCTATGGTGTTCTGGGTTTTGCAGTTGAAAATACAGAAACAACTGCTTGTAGTTGTTTCAGAATGCATTTCCTCACATAAGCTTTACACCTAACAAAATTATATCAAGCTGTTGGTCTATTAAAAAGATTGTGTCTGTAAATCCTAATCATAACATTCATAAGAAATACTGAAAATAATTAATATTAGAGTGATACCAGTCACTCTAAAAAACCCAGAGGACAAAAGGCAGCACAGAGGAGCTTTAATTTTATGCTGATGCACACTGTGGGTTTTTCTTATTAAAATTTAAATTCATTCTTCTTTTTATAGCAAGAAAGACTATTTAAACATTGTACTTAGAAAAGAATGTTAGAAATGCTCCTGCCAAAAGGACATTTAGCAATGAAAATGCAAATCTGAAATCTAAAATAGTTTGCTGATCTCCCACAGGGCTTCATGGCAGTAGAAAGAAAAATCAAAGGTCTTCAGTATGGTTGGTGTTAATCTTGAGCCCAAATACCTTCTTGTATTAAGGATTTTTCTGAACCTATGACAGTTTCTCATGCTGCTACTATCTGCCATAATCTGGTATTTAGCAGAAGGATTAACATCTGGCTGAGAATTGTCTTTTCTTTACCACCTGAATTCTATTTAGATTTGTCAGACATATTAAAAAAAATTTACTTCTTAATGCATAAGGGCATTATAAAAACAGTTTGCAGATAAATTCTTTCCCATAAATTTTTACTTGAAAGTACAACACTTTTGAAGTTCTGTGGCAAATTTCATAGCTGAATATTCAACACATAACGTATACATTTTCATTCACATTTTAAAGTGAATTACTTTTGGCAGCATTCAAATTCCTTCTGAATTTACTTTCCTAAATATATTCAGAGATGGGAATATTTGGTAAAACAATGTTGCAAAAGAATTTGTGGGCAAAAAGCTTATTTGAAATAATGCATTGGAAATTTAAATTTGTCCTCTCTTTGGCAACAAAAAAAAGTAATTGTTTTGGTTCACTGAAAACCACAGCAATGAAGAACAACCCCCAGTCTAGCTGCCATCAAAGTGTTGCTTCTGAACATGAAGCCAGGAACCATTGCCTGACTACAAAACTTGGTAGCAGAGACAAAATGTTGAATAAGGTTTCCAATAAGTGTCTGGACTGGGAATAAAATTCAGACCAACCCATCTGAGGGTTCTCTCATGCCTCTGTTCATGAAATTGTAATGAATGGCTTGTTAATTAGCAAAATAGAAACTGAGAGCATCATCTCTATTGGTTCATAGCAATGAACACTGATTCTGGTATTGCTCTGCAAGCACTGTCACAAAGAAGGTGCCCTACATGTTGGCTAAATACTTTCTTAAATTGTCTAAATACTTTTGATTCCAAGCCCAATTCTTATGACAGCTGAGCTCAATAAAGGATACAAAAGTCAGACTACTTGGGAGCTCTAAACAGGTGAATTAACAAAATTTTGTTTAGTAGGGATGTGTTTTAAACTCTGATGGAATCTATTAAAGAACTCTACAAGTGTTCTTTATGTTCACAGACTGTTCTGGACAAAATGACTGTTCCTGATGATTTATTTTCTTGGACTAGAACTACTTGGTCTACAGAACACACAGATTCTAATCAGAGGGCTAGAGGAGAGCCTGCAGACTCATATCTTTAAGTGAGGTTTCCATGGATACAACTGACTTGAGTTTGCAAACTTACCTTCAACAAGTGGCAAAACATATCTCATCTTCCTAAACTTTTGAGTGTCAGGATATAGACATCACTTGTCTGTGTAATAAATGTGAAGCCAGGGACTGGAGTGCAGAATCAAGGAGAAATGCACTTGCATTGCTAATATGAAACTGCAGTAGTGTGTGCTGTGGAATCTAAATCAGGGCAGGTAATTTTTTGGGTAATTTCTAACAACATTTAGGCTGAAATAATCAACAGCGCAAATAAAGACCAGAAAATATTCAGTTGTGAAAAAGTTCTGGAAAAAACATATCAAAGGGATGCTGTGGGCCATCAAGCAAATATGAGTCAACAATACCATGCTGTTTCAAAGAAAAGAGAATGCTGCATTAGGTTCTATTAACAGGAATAGCTCACCAGACATGTGATGCAATCCTTCCATCCAAACCCTGTCTGAAATCCTGACTTCTATTCAAACGCCCACAGAGACTTGTCTAGAGAATGTCAGATGTCCATGGTGGGAAGAACAAGAAGCAGTGGGCATGTATTGCTGCAAGGAATATTCAAGTATGCTATTAGGAGAACTTTTTAGCAGTAAGTATAGTGCAGAAATGTAATATAATGTCAGGGAAAATTCTGAAATCTCCACAACCATGAGTCATCAAGAGTAAGATGGACAAGTCTATCAGGAATGACAGAAACACAGACCACCACAACCTGAGGTTGGAACAAGCTTTTGATTCTGGGCTGCATTAAAGTGGCACTGAAACACTGGGAAACACTAAATAATATAGCCATCCTGAACATCATACTAACAGACTATCTTACCACATCAATCCCTGGAGTATATTAAAGTTAACAGTCTGAGCAAAGACATATTCTAAAGGTGACCACTTTTCTAAATATTTTTTTGTTCATACTAGTACTACTTCAGTCTTTTTGACAGTTGTCAATTTAAAAAAAAATCCCTCAGAAATCCAGGAAATTGTTTGGGAAGGTAGTTTCTACATGAAGAATATGCAGAGATATACACTGAAAACTTCATTCTGCTCTAGCTTCATTCTGTCCTCACTTCTTTTTACACAGTCTATCCAGTTTCAGTCAGGAATTTAATTTGGATATGCAATAGTAAGGATGAGAAGGAAAGCCCAAGGAAGCCCTAATGATGAATATTTTAACAATAGAAACAGATTTTCCTACAAAGTTCCTGTAACAAGTCAGACATGAAAAAACTTCACCCAATACTCAACATTTCCATTCATTACTCGGTTTTTGTGAAGGCACAGAAAGGATATGATGAATTACATCCCAAGCTGCAGGGGGAACAAGAACATATGATCTTTTGCTATAATTAGGAGGAGTACCTCAAGCAGAGCATTGATTGCCTGAAATTGTATCTGCACTATAGGAGGCAAATTGTGGACTTTGCTTAAATAAAGCCTTATTATGAAATAGGGGCATGTCACTGGGTCATTACCTGCTGGGGCTGGGCAGCACTGAGGGGCAGAAATGTGGGAGAAGTTTAGGATTCTGCACAGTGCTACAGGCTCTCTCAGTCTTCGTCATGCTGTGCATCAAATATGGGGAGCTCAAAGAAAATTCAGAGTAGGCAGTGGGAGCCTATGAGCTCCAAGCCCTAATGCAGAGGAGCACAAGTCAGAAGCTAGTCTTAGGGTTTGTATCATTTCTATCCTTCCCCAGTAAATCTGCCTCAGAGTGGGTTCCATCTGACATGTTCACTGTAAACTTTCCTGCATTCACTAAGATCTTAGCTCTTCCACCAAAAGAAAAAAAGATTTAAAATGGAAATAGCTGGTCTAGTGATAATAACAGCAAGTTTCTGGCTGGGTTTTAAAGAGATAGTGTTTTATTGGTTTATGTGGTAGATGGCACTTTGTAGGTCACTTGAATAAAAGCAATGATTTCCCCTTATTCTGGCAGAAGCTATTGTACATGTTAGACTGAATAATTTCTTTTCTGAAGATTTAGAGATATTGTAATTGTCATACTACACTGACAATCTGAATATTATTACCTCAGTAATAACTGAAATTTAAAAGTGAAATAGTGTCATTTGGAGACAAATACAAAGGATATAGAAAGACTTGTGCTATTCTTTCCTCTACCTTTTATTCTGTGTGTATTTTAGTTTAATTTATTCCAGTGTGAATATTTTTTCTTCATTTTAACATCTCCTAATGGATTTTACATCTCTTGGCCAAACTTACCTCTGATATAGCATTTAAGCAATTAATGGAGTCCTTTATAGCAGATCTGTCTCAGACATCAAACCTGAATTATTTAAAGGAAAACTTATTATTAAGAGAAGATGTAAAGGCATGTTGAACTGAACCAACAATTGGAAGTGGAAATTGCTAGGAAATGGACTTTAAAACCATATAAGTGCTCCAAACCAAAATGTTACTATGGACTCAGAGAAGATGCTCAGGCCAATAGGAATGTGTCCATGAATTAACAGACTACTGTTCCTCACTTTGAACCTCTTAGAAACAGTTCAGGTCATCTAAATATTTAAACATTTGACTATTTAAAGGTGCTTAATGGGAGTTGACAGCATTTTGGTTTTTTTAAATTCCACTTTAGTGTTGAGAGTAGAAAAAGATAATTCAGGCATTTGGATGTGCTGCTTGTGACTTAGCAAAGTCAACTTAGTGTCTGGCTGCTGTGCACAGGGACAGTCTCATCAGTCTCCTGAAGTTCCAGACCTGAACTAACCCTAAACAATAAAAAAAAGAAAATTTAAAAAAAATATAAAAGAAGAAGAAAAAATTTTTATCTTTTTCTCATTTAGCCCTAACATGCTTCTTCAAGGATCAGATGCCTATGCCATCAGGAAGTACAGTTTTGATAATCATATCAGAAAGAGATGGGTGGGAGTAAGTACGATCACACCTCTTGGCAGCAGCTATCCGGAAAATGCCTTTAGTTGTACTACAAGATCATGCAGAAAAGTAGATGAGATTATACAATTACTTCCCACAGTGTGCAAAAATGGAAGGATGGGGAGCTCAGAAGCAGCCAAATGTGCCATTACCTGAGAAGAATGATAAGGAAAACTCTGGACAGCTTTCTCCCAAATAAATGTTATTGTCCTAATTAAAGGTTTTTACTAATATACATGGGAAGTAGGAGAGAGGACAGATTGGAAATAAATTTTACAATGTTGATGTCTGCATCTCTGACCTGTTGTGTGGAACAGAAGCAATGGGTACAAGATGGTTACAAATGCACTCAAGATCAGAAATGACAAGGGGAAATAAAAAATTAATCCAAAAGTACATTTCACAGTTCACACACAGTTAGGTGCAACTCTAGTTTTTTTTATTCCCTTCTCTATTTGGGATTCACTTTACTTGATGTAATATGTGTTGGTTTATACTTATGGGAGCTGACTTATGAATAATGCAATTAGTGAGTTTGGGCTTTCAGAAAAGGTCTACACTTACTAGAATTTATTAAATTTGAGCAAGGGGTGCTTTACACTTTTTGTGCTCTACAGGGTAACTATGAAGAAGGCATAACTTTGTTGAAATAATTATTTTCCTCTCATTACATTATGACTGAGTTAGACTCACCTCATTTAAATTCATATTAGCATCTGAGTATAACAGAGTAATAGTGCAAGGATCCTAGCTTAGGATTTGTATGGCTCAAGCAAATACAATACGTGGGCTGGCATGACAAGCTGTTTGTTCCACACCACAGTAAGCACTGACATAGGGAAAACACCAGGCAGCCTCACCCTCTGTGTGCTGCTCGTCAGTGTTTTCCTACACAGCCAGACTGAAACACAGGAATCCAGAAAAGGCAATTGCAGCAGTTGTTCTCAGAGACTCAAAAGTTAAAATTATGTATGATTGATGAAATGTTCATTTTTCAAACTTGCATCAGATGCCTTGCATGTCTACCAAAATCATAGAATCACAGAGTAGTCTGAGTTGGGTCTCCAAAGACCATCCAGACCTGCCATGGCAGGGGGGTGGTCACAGACACACCAAGATGGGTGGGAGTGTTGATCTTCTGGAGGGCAGGAAGGCTCTGCAGAGGGAGCTGGACAGGCTGAATCAATGGGACAAAGCCAATGGTATGAGGTTAAACAAGGCTAAGTTCTAGGTCCTGCCCTTGGGGCACAACTCCTGCAGTGCTACAGGCTGGGGACAGAGTGGCTGAAAGGACCTGGGGGTGCTGGTTGACAGCAGCTGAACGTGAGCCAGAGTGTGCCCAGGGGGCCGAGAAGGCCAATGCCATCCTGGCCTGTGTCAGCAGCTGTGGCCAGCAGGACCAGGGCAGGGATTGTCCCCCTCTACTCAGCGCTGATGAGGCCTCACCTCAAATCCTGTGTTCATTTCTGGGCCCCTCACGACAAGAAGGACATTGAGGGGCTGGAGTGTTCCCAGAGAAGGGCAATGGAGCTGATGAAGGGTCTGGAGCACAAGTCGTGTGAGGAGCAGCTGAGGGAGCTGGGGGTGTTTAGCCTGGAGAGGAAGAGGCCTGGGGAGACTTTATTGCTCTCCACCACTACCCAAAAGGAGGTTGTCACAAGCTGGGGGTCGATCTCTTCACCTGGGTGACAAGTGACAGGACAAAAGGAAAAGGACTCAAGTGGCACCAAGGGAGGTTTAGATTGATATCAGGAAAATTTTCTTCTCAGAAAGGGTGGTTAAGCATTGGAATGGGCTGCCCAGGGAAGTGGTGGAGTCACCATCACTGGAAGTGTTCAAAAAGAGTGTTGAAGTGGCACTTGAGGACCTGGTTCAATGGTGAACATGCTGGTAGTTCTGTTGGCAGCTGGACATTTATCTCAAAGGTCTTTTCCAACCTTTACAATCCTGTGATTCTATTTTCAACTGGATCAACTCGTTCAGAGTCCCATCCAACCTGACCTCCAGTGTTTCCAGGGATGGGGCACCCACCACCTCTCTGGGCAATCCATGTCAGTATCTCACTACACTCATAAAAAAGAAAAAAATATTTCTTGTATCTAGTCTAAATCTTCTCTCTTTTAGTTTAAAACGATTACCCCTTGTCCTGGCACTATAAGCCTTACTAAAGTTTTCTCCTCTCTTTCTTATAAGGCCTCTTTAAGTATCAAATTGCAACAATAAGGTCTCCCTAGAGACTTTTCTAGGCTGAACAAAGAAACCTCTCTCAGCCTTTCTTCATAGGAGAGGTGCTTCAACCTTCTAAGATAATTTCTGTGGCCCTTCTCAGAACCTGCTCCAACAGTTCCATGTCTTTCCTATGCTGAGGACTCCAGAGATGGGTGCAGTCCTACAGGTGAGGTTTTACCAGAGTGGAGTAGAGAAATCAAAAGATAGCAGAAAATCAAAAGATAAACACACAAATGTATTTTTCAGAAGGTATCACAAATCCATTGTCAGTCCACAGGAAGAGTGAAATTATTAAACTGGTCTTCCTTACATTATTTAGCCTTTGGTGAAAATGGTGAAAATGGTGAAAATGTTAGTGTTTTTCTGACATTGATGAAAATGTTAGTGTTCTTCTGACATTCTCTGTTCTCACTGTTGT